CACAGTCCCGCTGGTGTTTTGCCGACGCCCAGTCAGCGCCTCTTCCACTGTAACGTCAAACAGAATCTCTCGCTGGAAGTCGTCCGTCAGCCTGTGACAAATCCGATTAAGAAGGAGAACAATGACAATTTTTTTTTTTCAAAATAAAAACGCAGAAGATTGAAATACCAGACATAGAATAACCAATGTAAAAAAAATTATTAGTAAAGTTTCCGTTAGACCCGGACACGAGGATTTTACGAATAGAGTTCACCGGATAAGAAAAAATCCGCATAAGGGGTTAAAAGACAATTGTTGTACAACTGCATTTGAAAAGAAAAGCGCACGAGATTAAAATGCCAGACATAGAATATTCAATATGGAACAAAATTTGGTAAAGTTTCCGTTAGATCGGGACGCACAGAATTTACGAATCGAGTTTCGTTCAGAAGAGTTCAATCCCTCTCCTTGAACAGAGTTCCATTACCATAATTTTGATTTTGTTTTCGACATTCTTGAAAAGACACCGAAGAAAATGACACGCAAAAATAAGCTGAAATTCCACTTTAATCGCAAGCGAAATTGGGAACGTGAACTGCACCGAAAGTAACAAACTATTTTCACAAATCTCTATTAAAAATAAAAACACTTGAATGAACTTTAGAAATATTCCAATAAAAAATACATACAGAATGCGTACAGACATTTTATGACTCTTTGATGCTATAGCCAACACCTCGAATGCATTTTCGAAGTTTTGAATTCAGTCGGGATGGAATAACTTTCTTGACGAGATTCCATACTTGAGTTTTTCAGGCGTTCATTCACAATGGACCTTTTCAGACAATAGGCACGAATTTAACGGAGTTAGAGCTTCATTTTCTAAAACACTCGTTTCTTCCCTCGAAAAAAAAAGGAAAGCAGACAAGCACAAAGAATACATGCGCTGACTCCGTCTGTTATGGATGCCACATCGAAAAATTGAAGAAAACGAAAAACTTCTTAAAAAAGACTTCTTTTTTGACGAGTGAAAGTTGAAAACAAGTTCCCGTAGACATCCACGACCAAATCAGAGAACTCCTTTAGTGAAAAACCAACGCAATTAAGAAAAGCACACATTATTCGCCTGACCTACGCTTCAACACGGACATTTAATTAAATCCCCAGAAATGCGAGTCAACTAAAACGTAACAAAAGTTTTCGAAGAAAACGAGGTCGAAGAATAAAAAATAAATAAATAAAAGCTTTTCCGCCCACACTTCAAGCAATGAATCACGTCGACGGGTGCGGCACGGAATCATGAAGATTATATACGACCAGTGTATGGATTATCCGGATTATCGAGGCTGACTCATCTTAAAAACGGATCCAAAATAAATAGATCGGATTCCTATTTCCACCTCATTCCCAAACCCGTCATTTGAATAAAAACTTTAAGAGGGCAACACGGATTACGCGGAAAATGACAAGTTTCCCGAAAAAAGAAGACCCCAAAATTTTAAAAACGTCCCAACATGCATTGGAGGAAAAGAAGGAGAAATGAAATTCAAAATATCAATCAGGATGACAAGTCGATTGCAAAACAAGATAAAACTGTTGAGTTTACGAACGTGACCCTTTAAGGAATAGCTGTTCACACTATCGAAGAAGATTGGGAACAATTATACTCAGTCTAATATTTTTAGCGAATAGGTTAGTAAAAAAAAAATTCCAAACGGCGATTTTTCGCAGAACTCACTTCAATTCTTCGGCCAAGTTGAATTTGACAGTTGTTCTCCCGTCAATCGATGCAACTTTGTGCAATGGTTCATCATAGAACGGTTGTAGGTACGGCGATTTGTACAAAGGCGAAACTGAAACAGTCGCTTCGCCTTTCACTGGTTTACCGTATGTATACCTGCGGGGAAAAAAAGGTTAAAAATAAATGAATAAATTATATTCCATGAACGCCTTTCATATCGAATCCATTCGGGGACTCATCCGCGAAAATTGCCTGCGTGAAGTCGACTCCCACGTTCAGCTACATGCCTCAAGGCGACTTTTTCGCCAAATAAGGGAAAGCATGCAAATCCCATCTGACTCTTTCCGGAGAAAAATCCCGCTGGACGCATGATCGGATTTTACGTGGAGTAAAAAATAATGAATAGATAAAAGTGAAGCTAGGAGAAAATTTCAGGAACATTATTCACATTGATTTCTTTCAGCAGTGCGCAAAATTCTAAAATTGTAATACTAAAGTATGATGCAAAGAAAATGGCGCAGAATGTTTATAAAACAATTATTTTCAAAAGGAGAAAAAGCAACCCAGGAGGTCATCATTTCATGAAGCTACCCCAACAGGGTTCCTCCGTTTATTCCTCCATCTCTTAGCCCACATANATTGGAGGAAAAGAAGGAGAAATGAAATTCAAAATATCAATCAGGATGACAAGTCGATTGCAAAACAAGATAAAACTGTTGAGTTTACGAACGTGACCCTTTAAGGAATAGCTGTTCACACTATCGAAGAAGATTGGGAACAATTATACTCAGTCTAATATTTTTAGCGAATAGGTTAGTAAAAAAAAAATTCCAAACGGCGATTTTTCGCAGAACTCACTTCAATTCTTCGGCCAAGTTGAATTTGACAGTTGTTCTCCCGTCAATCGATGCAACTTTGTGCAATGGTTCATCATAGAACGGTTGTAGGTACGGCGATTTGTACAAAGGCGAAACTGAAACAGTCGCTTCGCCTTTCACTGGTTTACCGTATGTATACCTGCGGGGAAAAAAAGGTTAAAAATAAATGAATAAATTATATTCCATGAACGCCTTTCATATCGAATCCATTCGGGGACTCATCCGCGAAAATTGCCTGCGTGAAGTCGACTCCCACGTTCAGCTACATGCCTCAAGGCGACTTTTTCGCCAAATAAGGGAAAGCATGCAAATCCCATCTGACTCTTTCCGGAGAAAAATCCCGCTGGACGCATGATCGGATTTTACGTGGAGTAAAAAATAATGAATAGATAAAAGTGAAGCTAGGAGAAAATTTCAGGAACATTATTCACATTGATTTCTTTCAGCAGTGCGCAAAATTCTAAAATTATAATACTGAAGTATGATGCAAAGAAAATGGCGCAGAATGGTTTTAAAACAATCATTTTCAAAATGAGTAAAATCAACCCAGGAGGTCATCATTTCATGAAGCATGGGGTTGTCCCAAGGAGGCAAATAAGGAGGTAGAGAATCGGGTGTATGTTTTTGTTATGTTATAACCCATAAGTGAATCCATGGGCCGCGAGAACGCATTCTGCCCGTGGAGACCGAAAAAGGCGCTAAAATTCAGATAAAAATCTATCCCAGAAAAAGACGCACATACTGCTCTTAGTTACTCAGAAATACAAAAAATATCTTGAAAATAAAACCCATTCGGATTAGGATTTCGACTGAATTGAACCAATATTCCATTAGTTTTCAATTTTTTCAATAATTTTAAAATACATTATTTGGTTAAAATGGGCTTATGATTTCCATTAGGATCAACTATCATGTAAACCTGTAAACCTGATCTTCCAAATTTTGAAAAATTGTTTACCCGCCGATGACACGCACACTCCGTTTCAGCTCTTAATTTTTCAAGAGGTGCACGGGGTACCTTGGTACGGTAATTATGGTACTACAAATACATTATACCAAAAAAATGAATGCCCTTCAACTTTTGTTTGTTTTCTTAGATTTTCTGTGCAGTACGTTTGAATTTGACATTTGAATATAGAATAAACCCTACTAATTATATGACATGGTTGTTTTAGATTTGCCCGAGTTTTTGTTTTCCGAAGTCCGGTGTCTCTCAGAGCATTAGAATGAAAACATAACCGATAACATATTTTTATAAATCTGATATTTACTTCAAAAATTTGAAAAAGGTCCGCTTTCTAAAAAAAAAATTTCATCATCTAAGTTTTTAAATGTTGAGAAAAAACTGAAGCGAAGAGAAACTTTCAGGAACATGATTCACATGAATTTATTTGGCGGTGTGAAAACTTCAGAAATATTGATGCTGAATTATGATGAAAGAAATAATGGCGCAAAATATTTCTAAAATGAATATCTCCACGAGGACTAGCTAGAAAAAAATCAACTTACGACGTTATTACTCGTGTACGCCACCTTTAGTTGATCTTTCGTTTGAAAAGCTGTTACGAAAGCAGGTCTTTTGTTTGAATTGTAAACAGAAGATCAAGGTTTCATTACAATAAATTATGACACCAGACTTCAGAGAACAAAAACCGCCCGCATAAAAACTTTTCTTACATTTTCTCCATCTCTCTAGTCGTGAGATGTAAATGTATTATCCATATACAGTAGCACCATGTAACATGACTATTCTCATTTCCATTTATTTTCCCATCCAATCAAAGCTTTCATATACAGTATATGAATTTAAGAGGAAATGTAAAAGGATATAAAGAAAAATATGCTTTTTCCAGCCTATACACAACAATATAACAATATCTTCCCCATTACGTTTTTATCCAAAGGTATAGAAAAAAACGTAAAAAAAAGAAAACTCAAAGCCACCCACATGAAAAAAAAGTTGTACTGTACATCTTTTTATCTTCCTTTCGAAGTTGGGTGTACGCTTGAGTTACACCTGCACCGCGTTGACGCAACAGTAATGCTTTAGTTCCGCCCTCGTCACCTCGTTTTACGCTGGTGTGAATAAGGCCCACCTGCGGCCTTGCGTAAACTAAAGCAGGCGAAAGCTCCTGCTCCTTATCAATACACAAACACACACACGCATCAAAATAGCGAAATTCCCTGCGATTTTATGGCAAGAAAATAAAAAAAAAAGCGTAGCTCGTTGTGAATGCATTCATTCTCTCTCCGGCAAAAAATTGGATAGTTGTCCTCGCCGACATCCGTGGAAACATGATTTACGAATACGAGGGTTGGTTCAGATGTTTCGCTAGGCCAAATGAAAATTAATTTATTGAAGTTTAATCAATTCAACCCATCCTTGACATGCGTTAAAATTTGCGTTCGCCAAGGTTGAAACGGGAAAAAAACAATTTTCAAATTATCCCAGTGCTACCAAAAACAGGAAAACCTCGTTACTAAGAAGCTACTGGGAGTAAGAGATAAGATTCGTCAAAACAAAAATATTTACAAATAAATTCGAATAACACCGTGACCATTGGACGGGGACTTGAAAAACAAAATCTTCGCAAGCAAAAATTCGTTGTGACGAGATTCTAGCGTAGTTCGAAAATGAAAAACCTCTAAAATAGCATCCCCTTCTTTTAAATAAATGCATTTTTTTAAATACACCAATAAGATTCCTGAGCGCAAATTATGCAGAATGCGAAAGTTGAAATAACATTATTTGACTAAAATCCGAGAAAATTGTCAGCAAATGGAGAGAAAGCGCACTTAAAATCGTTGTGCTGTACTTCTGTTCATACCGAACATTCGTTGGGTGGAGTACGGTACAAATAAATAAAATAAATAAAAGCTTTTGCCAGAACTAAAGTTTGAGCATTGTTTTGATAGAAGAGGTTATGATGAAGCGGAAAGTTGATTCAAAAAATTAGTTGCTTCAATCAAGTCGGTGGATTATCCATACATAAAAACAGGAGCTACGCTTCTTAATGCGTTCACAAAAGAAATCAGCTATTTCCCAAAATTAAAGGCGAATTGAATCACTTCAGGAAAAACTTTTTGACCAACCCTCGTACAGTTCACAATATTTTATATACACGTAGCCTTTTTCTATAAAACCTTGGCACACGAGGCGAAATTCATCAACATTAATTATAATCTTTGCTCAAATTGAAGAGTAAGACGTACATAGCAGTAAATAAAATTATTATTTAATTAAATGTAACTCGCAATAACCGCCTCACCAAACTCGCCTAATTAATGGACTCATTAAATCTGCCTTTTCCCAGGCAAAATTGTCAGCGAGAAAAAATAACTACACCATTATAATCATCCACGCTAGCATCGCAATAACAAATCCATGTACTGTACTGTTCTTCTGTTTATATCCAACATTTGTCGGGCGGACTACGACTCAAATAAAAAAAACCAATACTTTCAAAAAGCTTTTCAACAAAACTGAAGTTTACGCATTGTTTCGATCAAAGAGGAGATAATAATGCAAAATAGTTTTTTGAAGTCGGTGAAAAATCTATCGATAAAAACGGGAGCGAAGTTCCTTCATGTGTTTCACGCAAACNTGAAAGAAATAATGGCGCAAAATATTTCTAAAATGAATATCTCCACGAGGACTAGCTAGAAAAAAATCAACTTACGAGGTTATTACTCGTGAACGCCACCTTTAGTTGATCTTTCGTTTGAAAAGCTGTTACGAAAGCAGGTCTTTTGTTTGAATTTTAAACAGAAGATCAAGTTTTCATTAAAATAAAATATGACATCAGACTTCAGAGAACAAAAACCGCCCGCATAAAAACTTTTCTTACATTTTCTCCATCTCTCTAGTCGTGAGATGTAAATGTATTATCCGTATACAGTAGCACCATGTAACATGACTATTCTCATTTCCATTTATTTTCCCATCCAATCAAAGCTTTCATATACAGTATATGAATTTAAGAGGAAATGTAAAAGGATATAAAGAAAAATATGCTTTTTCCAGCCTATACACAACAATATCTTCCCCATTACGTTTTTATCCAAAGGTATAGAAAATAACGTAAAAAAAAAGAAAACTCAAAGCCACCCACATGAAAAAAAGTTGTACTGTACATCTTTCTATCTTCCTTTCGAAGTTGGGTGTACGCTTGAGTTACACCACGTGGCGCAACTGCGTTGTCATTACGAAATCAAGGCGGGAGCAGTGGAGCAAAATGCGACCACACTTATTCCGGGTGGACGCCGGAACGCATTTGATTTCGTCCGCTTTCGAGGACGAGGAATAGTTTACACAAACACACACACGCATCAAAATAGCGAAATTCCCTGCGATTTTATGGCAAGAAAATAAAAAAAAGCGTAGCTCGTTGTGAATGCATTCATTCTCTCTCCGGCAAAAAATTGGATAGTTGTCCTCGCCGACATCCGTGGAAACATGATTTACGAATACGAGGGTTGGTTCAGATGTTTCGCCAGGCCAAATGAAAATGAATTGAATGAAGAATCAATTCAACACGTCCTTGACATGAGTTAAAATTTGCGTTCGCTAAGGTTGAAACGGATTTTTTTTGCAAATGATCCCAATGCTACCAAAAACAGCAAAACCTCGTTACTAAGAAGCTATTGGGAGTAAGAGATAAGATTCGTCACAACAAAAATCTTTAAAAATAAATTCGAATAACATCGCGTCCATTGGACAGGGACTTGAAAAACGAAATCGTCGCAAGCAAAAATTCGTTGTGACGAGATTCTAGCGTATTTCGAAAATGAAAAACCTCTAAAAAGCATCCCCTTCTTTTAAATATATAATTTTTAAAAATAAACTAACACGATTCCTGAGCGCAAATTATGCAGAATGCGAAAGCTGAAATAACATTATTTGACTAAAACCCGAGAAAATTGTCAGCAAATGGAGAGAAAGCGCACTTAAAATCGTTGTGCTGTACTTCTGTTCATACCGAACATTCGTTGGGTGGAGTACGGTACAAATAAATAAAATAAATAAAAGCTTTTGCCAGAACTAAAGTTTGAGCATTGTTTTGATCGAAGAGGTTATGATGAAGCGAAAAGTTGATTCAAAAAATTAGTTGCTTCAATCAAGTCGGTGGATTATCCATACATAAAAACAGGAGATACGCTTCTTAATGCGTTCACAAAAAAAATCAGCTATTTCCCAAAATTAAAGGCGCATTGAATCAGTTTAGGAAAAACTGTTTGCCCAACCCTCGTAAAGTTCGCACTATTTTATAAAAACGTAGCCCTTTTCCATAAAACCTTGGCACACGAGGCGAAATTCATCAACATTAAATTATAATCTTTGCTCAATTTGAAGAGTAAGACGTACAGTGCAGTAAATAAAATTATTATTGAATTAAATGTAACTCGCAATAACCGCCTCACCAAACTCGCCTAATTAATGGACTCATTAAATCTGCATTTTCCCAGGCAAAATTGTCAGCGAGAAAAAATAACTACACCATTATAATCATCCACGCTAGCATCGCAAAAACTCAAATCCATGTACTGTACTTGTACTTCTGTTTATATCCAACATTTGTCGGGCGGACTACGACTCAAACAGAAAAAACCAATACTTTCAAAAAACTTTTTGTGTTTTGACTTCAAATGCGTAACAAAGCTAGTTTCTCCTCTATTATTACGTTTTATCAAAAAACTTCAGCCACTTTTTAGATAGCTATTTTTGCCCTCGCTTCAAGGAAGTACACAAAGTGCGTTTGATTAGGAACCCTACCAACCATTCTCCTAATTTTTTTTTCCTCCAACAGAAAAAAAAAGTGATACTGGTGGATTTAAGAAAAAAAGGAACGATTGCAAAGCACATTCATCAAACTAACGTACCGTATACCTTACTCCCCGTGTTGTTCTTCGTCTTCCAGCGAAACAAAATAAAATAAAAATAGATCGTATAGGTGATAATCGTGGATGCTCACCTCGCGGTTATCACAGCGGTGACCTCCGAATTCCGGAACGTGGCAAAGGGCGGCAGGTCGATGTCAACCTCGAATTTGGGCAGGATGTACTCGGCCACCTTGAACGTCTTGCTGAACTCCTGGCCGAGCACGGATTGCCATTACAAGGTCAGTGGGTCGTGTCCGACCAGACTGTTGAGGTGAAGGGGCCTTTTGTGCGGGGCCAAGCACTTGCGGGCGAACTTGACGAAGTGGGCTAAGACGAAGGGTAGGATGCGTTACCCAAGTCAAAAGAATTGAATATACGTGGACACACTCACACTGTCGTAGAAAAAATTGATATTTTTGGCCAAATTTACAAAAAACCTGCTTTATAAAGGAGTTGATGATGGGAGGCTGAAATTCATAAACTCAAGGGTTCATTCGCCCAAATATCCATTCCTTTTTTTATTTTTTCAGAAGAAGCATCAAGTGATTTTTTTTTCGCTTTTCTCTTTCCTGGGTCATACAAGTGATATTCGCTTTCATAGCCTATTCGCCTTCAGAAAATTCGAGTTATGGATGTTCGCGGGGAAAGCCTTCGAGTTAGGAACGTTTTCAATGCAAGTAAAGTACTGCAAAGTACACTTGGTCTAAGAAAAATCAGACAGGGACTAGAAAAAATATCGACGTACTGAGGTATTAAACTCGGAGAAGCTCGAGTTATCAAGGCTCAAGTGTATACTGAACCGGCATTCCGTCGAAGAAAAAGAAAGCACATTCACGTTCTCTCTAGCTTGATACAATCTCCGTAGTAAAATAAGATTTCGAGTGATTCTTTTCTCTCCATTTGCCTCGTAAATTTGGGATGTCACTTTCGGAAAGAACCTCATTAAATAGAGTCGCCCGATCCGCAACTTCAAATTATTTTACTGTGCCAAAAGATTACGCACTTTTTAAAAACAAAACTTAGCTTGAAATTAGGGCGTACGTTTTAATCTTGCAAGTAAAGCGCGTCATTAATTCCGACCAACACAAATATTCTTAATGTTGAATAATGTCCAAAACAGGCGACAGTGGAACTGCCTGAAACATAATGTATCTGAATTACAGCAGGGGACATCGTTGAACTGTCTGAGGGTCGATTTCTCCAAAGTTTGACAAATACAACCAACGGAAAGAAGGAGAAATGATCAAATTGTTACCACATTACTCAAGTATTCATCAGCACATTGCTTTGATCGTAATTTCCATGGCTAAGAATGACGCTGAGGAAGCTAACAATCAAAGATGATTCGCGAATCAAAAATGAACAAAAATAATAATGAAAAATTGTCACGGATATTATTGTGACTGTCTTCAAGGGCAGATGGCACGTGACTTGCAAATTTCATGAAAAGAACGCATCAGTTTCAGCAACACAAAAAGACTAATGACATACGGTACACTACTCAAAAAGCGGTTCATGATTACTCTCTGATCCCCTCGTAAAGTTCAAATGAAGAAATCATACCGGAACTCATTTGGTTCATTGTTTATTCGCCTCAAGATCGACTGGACAAAACCAAGAGAAAGAGAGCATTTCCAGCTCCAAAATCGACAGTAACCGAAGCCCCTCGTAAAATGAAATGTAACCACTCTCGAAGTCGAACTTAAATGGACCAGCAATCAAATTCGACTTGCCCCAAGCAGGTTTCGAGTTGGGGAAACAAGCATTTTTGTTGGGGGAAATAAAGAATAATTACAAAGAAATTGTAATTCGTGATATTCTGGGGCTTACATTGATTTTTCGAAGAGTTGACTAGAATACTAGATGATAAACTTGGAAGCAAGGGTTTATTTGCTTAATTAGCCTTTTGCCCTCTCAAAACGCAACCAGTTACATTTCTACTGCTTTTATTTTTCTTCCCTGTGTGGATAAAATACTGTCATATCCAAGAGGCCTCCAGGAAATTCGAGTTACGGAGCTTCGAGGAGAAAAGCAATTGAGTTAGAGAGGTTTTTCACGCACTATTTTCAAGGAAATTCCGACAGCGACTTCAAAAAATTCGACAAAGAAAGGTACAAGTCAAACCTCGCTTGAGTCAAACTTCAAGGGACCAGCAAAAAATTCGACTTAGGGAGGTCTTGAATTGGACTACAATACAAAGCCCTTTTGTGTTCGGAAACACAGAAAAATGGCTCAAAATTGTAAATCGTAATATTCTGAGGCTGAAATCACTTCTTAAATGAGTTGAAAACATCCTGAACTTGAAGGCAGGGTTCACTTTCCCAATTAATTCTCTCACCTCCTTTTAAAACAAATCAATTTATGTTTATATTGCTTTTTTTTCCTTTCTGTATCAAGAAAATAAAAGCTAACAGGCCACAGAAAATTCGACTTATGGAGGTTTGAGGGAAAAAGCCTTTGACTTCGGGATGTTTTAAATGCATTAGTTCAAAGGGGATTCAGAAAGAACCTGAAAAAAATTCGACTTAGGGAGGTTCTAGTTATTGAGGTTCACCTATATTTGACTCAAAAATAGGGGGGGGGGCGAATGATTGAGATTCAACCGTAGATAGAAAAAAAAATAGAACTTACAGAGACGAAAACGTCGATGCGAGTAGTGGCACTGGGTCGAAGCTTGCGGTCAACAACGATCGCCCGGAACATGACTTTCTGCCCTGGTTTATAAATAGCCTTGTCCGTCTGGATGAAAACCGACAAACTTTTGCGAACGTACTCCAACGTGGTTGTGTTGGAGAAGCGAACCCCGCCTGTTCCGGAGACACTGATGTTGTAAGAACCCTGGCCCAAGTCTCCCATCTGCAGAAGAAAAAAAGAGAACGAAAATAGAGAAAAACGAATAGCGTCGTCATCCTTCGTCCGAAAAAAATTTAAACCTGCTGGTTTTAGGTGTTCCTGGAAGCGAATGTGAACATTGCACAGCAAGGCTCGGTAAATTTTACATTACTTTTCAAACAATAGGTTGGCCGTCCAAAACTTTGAATGATGAAAAGCAAAATGTTGGCTCAAACGTGCGATCATTTGAATTAATTTTGAATTATTATCACTACGTCCACATCTTATCCCAATAAAAACTCCTAATCTGAAAAGTGTCGCCGAAAAAGTTAAAAATCGTTTACAACATCTCAAAAACTACGAATGTCATGAAAATGAATTTGACCACAAAAGTTATGTTGATTCCTTCAATTTTACGCATTGCATTATTTTATGATACAACACGTGGATCATACTTAATATGAGCAGTACAGCATTTTTGAACTCAGTCGGCAAATACAAACCGAATAGTTTCGAAATCTCTGGTTTTCCTTTTTCTCCACACTTATTTTTCTTTCTCAATAATGGAGCTGAACCAGAAAAAAAAACCATTTTTCCTCACTCTCTTCAGTACATTTTCAAATACATTTTACTCTGCTCCGCGCTCAAGTCTATTTAGTCTACTAGCCTGGGTAATGAAGTGGATAACAGCAATTCTGCCTTCGGAGATTGATACTTCCTGAAACAAACTGCTTTCGTTTTACCGTCACATTCCTTAAAATTTCCAAAGGAAGGAGTTCTGTATTACCAGAGAAAACATCCGTTATCGGTAGGTCACGGATAATGGCAGCTCAAGCAGAATTACCGTAACAAAAAGCTGTACTAACAAATCACAAATTTCATTATTTTCATGGTGGACAAGAGGACCCAACGAAACTTTTTTTATACAATAAATTGAAGATAAAAGACGAAGATGAGGGAAAAAAACGACTTTCACTCACGGGGAATTGGAGAATTCGCGTATCGCTCGAATCGATCTGCTGCTGTTTCTGACTATGAATTCTTCCGCCAGAGTCTTGAATGCCATCGATTTCCACAGTAACAAATACTGGGTCGGGCGAATCGTGGATACTCACAGCTACATGGTAATCCGTGTTTGGACGCAATGCTTTCGGTGCCACGACCGTGTAAATTCCATTCCTGAGCGGAACATCGAAAAAGTTAAGCCACATGCCGTCCGTTGTCAAAACAGGCGGACTCTAAGAAGAAATTCAGGGGACTCGAAAGTTTTTCGTTTTAGAGATAATCACGCTGTAGAGAAGGGTAGAAACACACCGGACCAAAGAAAAATCGCTAGAGAGAGAGAATTACGCAGCAGAGAACCCCCATACGACGGGTACAGGGTCCTAAGGAACCAAAATAATTCGTAATAATATGTGGACTCACTCTACAACGAAATTCAAGGGACCAGGAAAACATTTTCAACATAGAGAACCCATATTACACGAGAAGAGAACTCATGGGAAAAAAAAAAAGTTATACAGATAAAATCCTCACAAAAAAATTGCTGTAAAGGTAGTCTACCTGCCAAATTGAAGTTTAACGGGATTTCTATGCGGGACGAGGCCAAAATTTGTTGCTCAAAGCTAATACTGTACAATACGTTAGAAAGAACTGTAGTGTACTTCACACAGCAACGAATATACTGAATAATGGCTGAATGATTCTCGTGCCAAGGCGGGGAAAAAACGTCGAAGAATTCGTTGGAGTACTTATTTCATCATTCTTTCGTTTTGAAACTTCAACATATTTGAACATACAGTAATTGCAAAAGGCGTGTAATTTTTAAACCACTCATAAGTACCAGGATATTATGAAAAAGGATAGTGTTGTTCAATTATTTTAGAGGAACATCGTTGAGTGTTGGAATAACAGAGATTTCGCACAAAAAATTAACTTTCGGAGATTTTTCAAACGTATTAATAAAATAATCATTTGAAAATAATAAGGTAGGACACCGTGAAAGAAAGTTAAAATGTCTTCACAGCCTCAACAATGCAAAAAAGCATCCAGTTTTGACAACTAGGAAAATAGATTTGTCGGCTTTTCGAGGAAATCTCAATCCACGAACAGTAATTTATAGACAGCAATTGTTTTCATGTAATGCCGAATTTTGCCACACTAGTCTACCCCTTGAGAGATGCTCAACACTGATCGTTGTTCAGATCAAAGCACGAAGTCCATACAATTTTCGAAGCTAACACGAAAACTGTGATAAAGAAAATAAAAAAAATATCCCCTCTTCTCTCAATATTACTCAACACTTACGATTTTCAGAGTATTTAAAAAAATTTTCCCCACCGTCCCACCTACCTGTGATGAAAACAGCATCATTATATGTTAATAATTCCGAATAATACAGTACAGTGTTAGAATTTTGGGGGGTTCTACAGTACTATACCAGAACAGTATACATGAATTCCGCTGCGGTTTTCGACAGACCATTGAAATCATTCTGTGTATCTTTTCGATCACACAATGAAACACGCTATGTGAGGTGTGCAATATTCACGTACCGGTAGTCCTCATAAAAAATCCAACTATTGGCTAAACTAACGGAACACAGAACATACCGTATATAGTACAATAGAACCCTATAAGCAACCGAACGGTCAGTCACATGATATATTATCAACAATATACAGTATGGCCCAAAACACTTCGGTGCTCAGTCACGAATTTTAACAGTATTCAAACCCTCATTTTGAATTAACGCAGTGACTGAAAAATAATACTGTACTCTTCGATATTAAGAGCTGATACATTATCCTGTTGAGTTTTTTCAACAGAAAGGGGCAGCTTTTTTTCTTGGTAAGCGTAAAACTAAACGAAGTTTTCTGAATGATTCGAATACACAGTAGCAACATTTTAACGTAGGCTAAATCTGTTTTGAATACATTACAATGAAAATTTCATTAAAAAAATCGGTTACCATTCGCATCCAAAACATAAGCGGGAAAAAGCATGCAAAACACAGCAAAAACGGCTCACCTGGTTTGAGCTGCGACGAACGCAACCACTATCACCAGGATGCCTAGGCAATGAAGGCACTTCAATTGAATAGACCGCGCACACATCCCATCAGTGTTTAGCCCACTTTCACACGTGAAGTATCATCTGCATAAATGGCAATTCAAGGTCACTGGAATTCCTACGGTGTTTTAGAGCTCCAGAACAGATTTGCTTCGAATGGCCGGGAAATGAAAGACTCTGGATCTCTTTCCGACTGCAACTCTCACGAACGAAATACAGTAACTAACCTAACCTAACTAACCGCTTGAGCGCACATTTTCTGAAACCACCGCGCCTAGCTGTGCGCTGCGCGGCAAAAGTTGGGGGGCATCGAAGTGTAGCGACGTACAGTAATCTAATGTTGAAATTAAACATAGGTAGATGTCATGACTTCATGAACAGGATGTCAACAAAATAATACAGTATTTTAAATACACATTGAAAAATAGCAATGCATACGAAGGCATTCTCAGCACAGGAATTCTTCCTCGCGTCAGTTGAACAATACTTTTTTTGTCGTTGCATCCTGTAATATCAGTTTTAAAAATGCAGGGGCATCATTTTAAGCAACCATAGGAATCAGTTATTCGCTTTCGACATTTTCGGATTTTCCCCGATGTGGATGTTACACATCCTCAAAATTGTATTGCATTCTTTCACAATAAAATCAAAGAACTAATTTTTTTCGTAGAATGATAAAGTCAGTGCCTACAGAGTACAGTATACCAAAGATCATCCCTTAAATAGAATCCATAAAAATTAAAAGAAAGCTTTTATGCTACTCCCGATTGATCATTATTCCTTTCTCTATTTTTCCTCAACTCCAAGATCAGCTCCATCCAATCACGCAGAAAATGTGCGCTTGTGCGTAGCTGTCATGACGTCTGCAAGTTCAAAAATCCACTTCGACGTCGACACAAAAGATAGAAACTAAAACTGAACAAATCGCCGTCAGTCGTGTCCTTGAATCGTTTATGAAGAGTTGGGATGAATTGTCAATACACTTGAAATGCAAAACACCCAACGCGAGTGTCAATCATACTCAAAAAATTATTTTAACCAATAAATAAGAAAACCTACACAATAAATACGGTGAGTGGAAAGCATTCTTGAACAGGGACACTGTGAATGATTTTGAGAGTGCATTTTCCAATTTCCAGTTCACACATTTTCAATAATTTATATTTGATCATTGATTGAATCAGGATTGATAAGAAGAATGGTACACCTGGTACATCAACACTTCCCTTTCAAAATTTACGAGTATACAATTAATGTGAAATTAGTGCATCGAACCGAAACACAAGCTTCTCAAGGTCAATTTTCTGTTCTGATCAGGAACTTCAAGTTCATTGATAAAATTACTTGGTGATTGCGCCTTTGCGCATGTAAGTAACTGCAAAAAAGGTTAAACTAAGGTCATCTTGTCAAGGTTGCGCAGACGGGAAACGAAATTGATACGTAACGTTACCTCTCATTCGTAGACGTTGCCATTAATGGATAAATGAGGGAAAGAAAAGCCTTTCAAATTCAAATATACTCGAACTTGATAACCACTGAAAAACAAATTCGCTTCAACAACCAAACCCTTAACGCACAAGAAGTCCACAGAAAAATCGCGGAAAGCATCCACGCCAGAAGCTGTTCTGCGAAACAGCATCCGGGACGATAGTGCCACCTGTTCAATTCATGGGTTGTAGAACGCTTTTCAGACCCAGTTCGCACGTCAGGGTCACACCAAGCACACGCGAAAAGAAGAAACACAGCTGACTCCATCACATAACAGCGAATTCTCAATCTGCACAGACAAGAAACAAAATTCGCACCGCGGAATTCCGCGCACAGACCTCTTCCATCGGTGGTGTAGTTTCTCGCCGGAGAAGGAAGCCACGCCAGCCGTACTCCGCCGCCACTGCACCCCCCATCCCCTCACTCCCTATCCTCATCACTCTCTCCTTTACGCACACTAGTGACAGACTTCAGGGTTTGAGTTTAGTGCAGTGAGCGGTGTCACAGGACAACATGCTATACCAGTTCTAGTAAGGTTTAACATGCTGTGCAGTACTGTGCTTCTCATTGCCAACATGCTGTTCCAGCAACCCTGGAAAGTGTTTGAAGTTTTTCTAAGCGCAAGTACTTATATTAAGCACATTAATCAGACAATAAAAGGCTTTATAGAAATTTATTAATTGTGAATGCAATGAATGAGCAAATGTAGAAATGAGAGGGAAAGTGCAAGTGGAATGCTGCTTGATGGATAGATGGCGGCATTGGTGCAACACAGGTGCTATAAGTGAAATTGAAGAGATTTCCAATAGTAAGGCATTCCAAAAATGTGATCTCAATTTGGAACTGAATTGTTCCTTTGGACAGAATGTGAAATCTCTGACAATTTTTGAAGTATTGTCCAATGTAGAAGACGTTTACAAATGATGACATATGCCTGAGATTGAGAAAGGACTGGACAATTGCACTCAGGGGATGAAAATTGTTGAGAAAGTACACAGCAGTTTATATCCTAAACAAATGCAAGGATGAAGGCTCCAAATGGAAAAATACATCACCTTTCTCTTGAGGAAGTAAAGTTGAGGCTCTATTGTAAGTTACAATAATTCCTAAAACTCCCAAAGCCTGGCACTTTCACAATTTTGTAATCCACCAGATTTATATTCCTTTCAGACAATTTGAAAGGAAAACCAAGAGACAATGTTACAATTTTTTAGAACTCAGGATTTTTGTACCTACAGTACTGTTTTACCCTGCAAGATTTTTAGGCTTATGGGATTGTCAGCCTCACAAGATTTTTGGGCTGCGGGATTTTTCTCCTACAAGATTTCATCATTGAGACAGGCTATATAATGTGACAAGTTTGACAGTGCATCATAGACTCACAAAGGAATTTAAAATGCTTGGAATTGTGTTTTTTTTATTTTCTCACCATAAAAATTCAGTGAATACCTCTGCTTTTCTTCTCCACAAAAGATGTGAAAAAAATCAAATATATTTGACTTCTTTGGATGCCATGAAGCATCAAACCAGTCAATTATAAGCTTTTCAGCATTTCTTGTGGCTTTTTTTTTATAGAAAAGAACCAAAATGACTCACACCCCCTGTAGAAAAAAAACTCATTTTGTTCACAATAAAATACTGTATGTCTGTAAAATCTGGTACATAAATTATTTTGGTCCATCTTGCGTATAGACCACTTCAATTGACTCCTTTGGTAAACTTCATATTTGAGACTAGCAGTTTCTCAAGCATTTCTCATGCATTTAATGACCAGTGCTGTCCCTCAAATCTTTCTTTGAATGATTGGGTCTGTAAGAATGTATGGAATATGCACAGTCTGATTCAAGATTAGTTACTGAGAAACTGGATATTTCATACACCAGGGTGCGCTGGTTTCAATTTCATGGGATTTTCAAGGCAGCAGATTGCCGAATTTTAGCCCAAATGTTCTTGGCTATTTCACGTTGGATCTTTGGTACCTGAAAAAAAATCAGGCTAGGTTCTTTGAGATCGACATCTGCCGCGGCTGCCCAGCTCCCAGACGGGGCGATTGTCCGTATGCTGTTGATGGTGCCTTCCACAAGTTGGCGCCCTAATCCCCAGCCCCTATTCAATGCATTGTCCCTGCCCCGTTGATCCATTACCATGCTGAGTCCCATCCGTTTAAGTGTGTGCTTTTCGCGGGGGAGATGCCTTTGAACGGCGCCGCAAAAAAACCCCTTTGTCTCCCTTCTTGAATTCTGGGAAATGTGCAGATCTGGTCATCTCGACCCGGACCTGCATTCTACCCAGCAGAAGGCTATTCTGGTCTTGTTTAGGACACAGCTTTGGTTGCCGTCAGAAAATGATTGAAAAATACATTTTTTCAAGATCCATACAAAATCACACAAATACCCAACGCACTCTTCCTTAAAAATCTCACTGGGACATGCGGAACATGCGGTGCCTGAACCTGAGTTTTTCCACAAGAAATTTCAAGCAAAAAAAGTGATCAAATTGCAATAATTGCATATGAATAACATGCAAATTATATTTTTTGCGCAAGGTTTCTTTTTCACGGGATAAAATAGATATTTTTATAGCTATTGATGAACAAGTGTGTGTCCGTCAAAAAAATTGGAAGTTTTGTACCTTTACCCCCGAGTAACATTCGAATTATAAATTATGATTTTATGCATTGTCTTTCCGGGGAATGAAGCGGTTCGTTGTACCCCTTGCCTCCAGGCAGATATTAAGAAGCATTATCACGCCATTTTTTTAATTTCAAAAAAAATGTTCCGAATACAAATCAGCTACTCTATTTTCTGGGCAGGTTCGAGTGAACGCATGAAATTCAAAAATTGGAGTGTGATTATCAGGGCCCGAGCTGGGGTGGGAGGCGCCTTTGTGCAGGAACAAATTTGGTGCCCTTAGAAAAAAGACAAATATTGTAAAAAAGGAAAATTTCATATTATGATGCCTGCCAGTCATCATAATACAAAATGATTGACAATTTTTCAATGTTATACTACTAAAACACCTTGTATACCATGCAGATGAGCAGGGGAAAAATTGAGTATACTGTTCTGATTTTACAGGCAACAATGATTTTGTTCGAAAAATATTTTACTAAAAGGTTCCTATGAAAAATCTGCTCAAACCCAGAAAAATTGCTAAAATGGAAAAATACTGTGAACATTTTTGTAACAGGATTTTTGTCAGTCTTTTCTATTCAAAAATGTAGGACCCTCAAAGTTTAATATAATGTTGCAGCAATGATTTTTGTTATTTCACCAATACCTTTTCAGTTGAGAAAACTTTCAATTTTTTTTGCAATTTGCAGAGTGAGTTTGTTTTCGTATATGATAATATTCATCATTCTGAGGACCAAGTCACTTCCTAAAAAATAATTTTTGGCTGATTAAGTGTGGATCATGACTGCTTAATTTGATTTACTTCAGTGTCATATGTCACCCAGAATATTTTTTGTGCTCTGCTTCATTTTTTGGCAATGAAATAACAAGCATAAGCTAGTATTTAGTGAACTCAAGCTGTGTCATGGTGGACATTAAAGTACAGGTAAATCTTGATGCAATGAAGCCACCTGGGACCAATAAAATAGCTTTGCTGTTACAA